AACTTTTATTGACCTTTATGTCTTACTGTGTTTTGTTTTGCGTATTGTATCGAAAGGAAAGCGTAAATAAACGGTACCGTAATACCGTGAACAATCTTATTTCACCGAATACCGTCAGCCAAAATGATGAAAAACCGCATACCGCAGAGCTAGATGATACCGCAATATCGCACGTTAAAATTAAAATTACCGAGATACCGCATGAAAAAAAGCCCAATACCGCAATACCGTAAACCTCCATGTCCCCCTCAGTATGAAATTAGCAAACTGCAAAGTGTCCAAAACGCTGCAGCGCGTGTGATTGCCTGCTTACGTAAGTTTGATCACATAAGTGATACTCTAAAGGAGTTGCACTGGCTACCAGTGGAGCCAGGAATAATCTTTAAGATTAATCTTATTTGTTTTAAGATACTCAACAATTTAGCTCCTGATTATTTGGTTGACCTAATCCCTGTTTATGAACCTGCGAGGTACCTTCGCTCATCTTCAGACAAGTGGCGTCTTGTTATTAAACCCTATAACTTAAAGACATACGGTTTAAGGGCTTTTTCAGTCATTGCCCCTATACTCTGGAACGATTTGCCCATTGACATTAGATCGATCAATGATGTAAATAGAGCGGTTTTCACTTGACTGTCGTAAAACCAAACCCAAAGTAAATACACTAGCCAACCAAAGGGCGTAGTAAAACCAAAACCAAAACCAAAACCAATCCCTTTCGACAGTCAAGTGAAAACCGCTCTAAGTTTAAATCTAAATTGAAGACCTTTCTTATTAAGCGAGTTTACGAACTATCTTAGGTTTTTATTTTGTATTTTTGTGACTATGTACATATATATGTAAATGATTTTAGGATTTTTATTTTTTATCCAGACCTTTTTGAAGCATTGTAAAGCGCTTAGCACTGAAAAGTATAGGCGCTATATAAATACTGTTATTATTATTATTTTATTATTATTATTATTAAAATTTGAGCTCACTATGGCCATAGGTCGCGGACCGAACATTGTGATATTTTTCAATGGTCGACAAAACAAAACTTCTGCAGAAGCTAAGTAAGGACGAAAAAGTACCAACTTCAGGAAATACAAACTTGCCTCCCTGTTAACTAAATTTGCATCACTGTTACATGCAAATTGCGCGTTTTCACCGATGGCAGAATACCGAAACCTTGTCATACGGAAGAACACTAAACGATAAAACATCTGACTATTTCGCTTTTCGCCGTATTGATAATATTCCGTCCATTATGAAATCGCCTACAGAAATACATTCGCACTCGGCAATCGAACTCCAGGTTTATCACGGGTAGCCGTTTATATCATGTCGCCGCTTTCCACGCAACAAAGCTTTCCTCTTCAGGCAAAACGCATTTATCGGGATTCTAGCTTCGTTACAGTTATGTCTTTTGGTGATAAGCTTTCCTTGCCAGCCAGATGTTTCTCTCGCTGTTTCGTATCCCACGGCAGAACTGTCGCCTGAGGTTATTTTTGCAACCGTTTACGTACTGCGAAGCCATACGTCACGTTATTAGCGTCGAATCATGACAGGTCGAATCATGACCCTGCATGACCGTCGAATCATCTCTGCAAATCCGGGTGTATACATAGCAATGAAATCAGCTGTAACATCCGTTCACTCAACTCCAATGAGAAGATTGGAGACCTTCCTCTCACGATGCAAACGAACTTATCGTGAAGCTTAATTCTGATCTTGCTCAAGTTCAAACGTGGCTCATCAAGAATAAACTTCAACTGCATCCGTCTAAATCAAAACTCTTGTTAATTGGGTCCTCCGGTCCTACAATCTGAACAATAAGATAAGTGAGCAACCTGTTGTGGTAAATGATGCGCTATGATCAACCTATATCGAGAACTAGTGCACATAAGTGCCTAGGTGTTCACATAGATGAAAAAGCTTGGCTAGGACTGTCATGTTGATACCATCTGTAAAAAGGTTAGGGCGGGTACATGAGCCATGGGGCGCATCAAAAATTTTGTTCTCGTAGCTACTCTGGAAACAATTTATAAGGGCTTAGTTCAGCCATATTTTGAGTATTGTACTCCTTTGTGGGACACCTGCGGCAGATTTCGGTCACGTGCTGCTAGAGTTCGCACAGGTGCCAGTTATGATACTAGCTCCGCAGACTTAATTGATTCTCTTTCTTGGCAAACACTTGATAATCGACGGTGCTGTGCAAAGTCAATTTTAATGAATAAAATATTAAATGATCACACCACCCCCGGCCTAAGCTGAACTCCTCCGTGAGAAGGAATGTCGAGCCATCTACGTGACACGGATACTGATCTAACACTTCCTAAACCGAAAAGAGAGTTTCTAAAAAGGAGTTTTAAATTTAGCGGTGCTATGCTTTGGAACCAGCTCCCGAATAAAGCAAAGATCGCTGAGTCAACCTCTTCATTTAAAAGCCTCCTTAGATTATAGTTGGGTATTGACAAGCTGTGTATCTTATTAGTCGTTAACTTTTGATAAACTTAAATGTAATAGAAATAGTAGTAGTAGTAGCATAAGAAATTTTAGTATTAGTTTTGGAATTTAAATTCGCTTTTTTGTGCGTTAACACGCCCTCATGGAAACCAGCCAAGTGATGTTGAGGCTACCTTGTTTCTCTTGTGATATGAATATTTAAATAAAGTATTACCTACCACCTTACCAAGCTGGCAGAGGGGAAAGGAGTATCTGTTGTTTGTTTGCAGGAACATCGGAAACTTCATGAGAGTGGGGACGTACAGTATACTGATGTCGGCAAAGGCTGGATCTTGGCCACTTCCTCGTGTTGGAGGAAGAGTTGCGTGGTGGAGTGGGTATGCTACTAAGCTCCTCTGCTTACAAACACCTAGAGGACAATGTTGTGGTAGTGAATAGCCGGATCATAGTGGCAAACTTCAGTGGCAACCCTGCTACTACTATGATATGCTGCTACAGTCCAACGAACCTGCTCGGATGACAACGAGATCCGCAAGGGACTTTTTTTTGCGATCAGCATGATTTCTTAGTTGCTACGGACGCTTTGTTTTCAAAAGGTGACAAGAGAATTTCCTGCTGTGGGAATTTAATTAGTACATTAATTTCTGGCCAAAAAACGTAATCCGATAAGGTGTCAACCCTGTCATATGCCACTACAGTAGTAATCCTTTTGAAAGCTCAGAACGAGTTCAAGATAGTAAAAACCAGATGAAAATACAACGCTATCCATTATAAAAATTAAAATAAAGCAAAATTAAAACAATTTTGCTTATAGTAAAGTGTATGCCTTGCAAAACCTTCAAGTTGGTCCTAGATAATTTTTTGCCAGATTTCAGCACGAGGAATCCACGCGCCAGGACGCGCGGACAGCAATGATCAGGAAATAAAGCGGAAGAACGAATTGTCTTTTCAAAAATATATTTTCCCTTTCAAACTGAAATGCTTCAAGGCTAAACGAGATTTTGCCTATTGCGACTGGCCGGTGCTATCTCACGATAGCCGATCTGTAGCGAAGACACGGAGTCCAGTGTAAATATTGAGCCGCTTTTTAGGCATGCGGTTGCCTGCAGTTTTTATTTATGCGTCGTAATGTCAAAACAAAGAAACAAATCAGCAAGTGGAAAAAAGGATTGTGCAACTAAAAGTATAACCCATCCTACAATGAAATTAATTGGATTTTACTTTATATGGTATGCTTTTGGTATATCGCGCTGGATCTGCCACGATGCTTTGTCAGAAGATTCCTGAGAGTGAGAGCCACGAGTGATGGCGGTGTACATATGTGACGATCCTCGTCTATTCTATTGCGCCAGGTTTTTTTCTCCTTCGCTGGATACCGAAAAGACTTGGTATCATTGCTTTGAATTCCAGCCTATGTAATGGAAAGCTATGCATGTTCGGCTCCTCCGATTCAGTCAAGAGTCTTAGCGAGGAATTTAAGCAATCTGACAAGATGGCGTTCTTGCTTGTATGAGTTGGTTCTCCGTGCCGTCGATGGAGGGGGCTTTTTGGTCCGCTGTCGCTCGATATCATTCGCCACAGGTCCTTTAGCTAAATCCTGTTTCTAGAAGCGGATTTCAAGAGTGGTCGACTGGATCAGTTCATTTTGATTCAAGGGTTCTGTCCATTGGCGCCAAAATCGAATAGTCCGCCAATTCCCCAAAATAGCCCGCCAATCCAAAATCTCTGTACACATCCTTCACTCAGGAAACAACCAAGTAACAATGGGTATGACTCGCTTTTATTAAATAACAAAGTCGGTATACCAACTTGCAAAGCAAATTGTGAGAAATGAGGTCAGTTAACCAGTTTATTGTTTGTTGAAATATCATTTTCTTGTAATTATTGTGGGACATAGTTTTTGAAGCCCATTGTTTCTCCCTTATTTAAATTCAATTTTTTCTCCTTTCACTTCAATTCCTGTCACTTTTCAATGGCTAATAATGTTTTTTTTTCATAAAGGCTGATCTCGAAACTGTTTTGCAAATGTGATTAGGCATACAGAGGTCTTAAAGAAAAGTGAAATTTTTTTGACAGAAAACACTACAATTATGTTTGTTTAAAGGGCGACATTTAACTTTAAGAAGAAATTCTACTTTTTCATCTATCTTTGTGTATTCAAGAGTGGGTGTTTGATACTGCCATGATGTTCTGCTACTCCTAAGTGCAAATTGTGAAATGCAACAGAACACTAGGTGTGTCGCCCGTGTTTCTGTGAGTTAGAAATTCATGGCATTATTAATTCACCTGCAAACTTATCTTATAGTCATCTTGAGTGAGTAGGTTTTTGATAATGCCATGATGTTCTGCGACTCCTAAGTGCGAATTGTGAAATGCAACAGAACACTAGGTGTGTCGCCCGTGTTTCTGAGTTAGAAATTCATGGCATTATTAATTCACCTGCAAACTTATCTAATAGTCATCTTGAGTGAGTAGGTTTTTGATAATGCCATGATGTTCTGCGACTCCTAAGTGCGAATTGTGAAATGCAACAGAACACTAGGTGTGTCGCCCGTGTTTCTGTGAGTTAGAAATTCATGGCATTATTAATTCACCTGCAAACTTATCTAATAGTCATCTTGAGTGAGTAGGTTTTTGATAATGCCATGATGATCTGCAACTCCTAAGTGCAAATTGTGAAATGCAACAGAACACTAGGTGTGTCGCCCATGTTTCTGTGAGTTAGAAATTCATGGCATTATTAATTCACCTGCAAACTTATCTTATAGTCATCTTGAGTGAGTAGGTTTTTAATAATGCCATGATGTTCTGTGACTCCTAAGTGCGAATTGTGAAATGCAACAGAACACTAGGTGTGTCGCCCGTGTTTCTGTGAGTTAGAAATTCATGGCATTATTAATTCACCTGCAAACTTATCTAATAGTCATCTTGAGTGAGTAGGTTTTTGATAATGCCATGATGATCTGCAACTCCTAAGTGCAAATTGTGAAATGCAACAGAACACTAGGTGTGTCGCCCGTGTTTCTGTGAGTTAGAAATTCATGGCATTATTAATTCACCTGCAAACTTATCTTATAGTCATCTTGAGTGAGTAGGTTTTTGATAATGCCATGATGTTCTGCGACTCCTAAGTGCAAATTGTGAAATGCAACAGAACACTAGGTGTGTCGCCCGTGTTTCTGTGAGTTAGAAATTCATGGCATTATTAATTCACCTGCAAACTTATCTAACAGTCATCTTGAGTGAGTAGGTTTTTGATAATGCCATGATGATCTGCGACTCCTAAGTGCAAATTGTGAAATGCAACAGAACACTAGGTGTGTCGCCCGTGCTTCTGTGAGTTAGAAATTCATGGCATTATTAATTCACCTGCAAACCTATCTAAAAGTCCTCTTGAGTGAGTAGGTTTTTGATAATGCCATGATGTTCTGCAACTCCTAAGTGCAAATTGTGAAATGCAACAGAACACTAGGTGTGTCGCCCGTGTTTCTATGAGTTAGAAATTCGTGGCATTATTAATCCACCTGCAAACTTCTCTAATAGTCATCTTGAGTGAGTAGGTTTTTAATAATGCCATGATGCTCTGCGACTCCTAAGTGCAAATTTTGAAATGCAACAGAACACTAGGTGTGTCGCCCGTGTTTCTGTGAGTTAGAAATTCATGGCATTATTAATTCACCTGCAAACTTATCTAACAGTCATCGTGAGTGAGTAGGTTTTTGATAATGCCATGATGATCTGCGACTCCTAAGTGCAAATTGTGAAATGCAACAGAACACTACGTGTGTCGCCCGTGTTTCTGTGAGTTAGAAATTCATCACATTTTTAATTCACCTGTAAAGTTATCTAATGGTCATCTTAAGTGAGTAGGTTTTGGGAATGGGTTTTTGGCATTATACTTCTCTTACTGACAATCGGTCATTGCTGCGGAGCGACCGAAGGGAGCGAGCAGCAACATAATCAGGATTTAAAGGAAATATATAAGGGGCGACGAATTCTCGAATTCATCACTTTTTACCACAATGCATTGCATTTAACCACACTTTTTACCACAATGCATTGCATTTAACCAGAGTGCATTGCGCCACGAACAACTCAAATAAAAACACGGGGAACTTAGTTCGGTGGGTGAGAGAGTGCATCGTTCGCTGCTCAGACTTTTCTTTGTGGCAAATTTTCTACAGCACGGTTAGAGGTCTTACCAAATTTTAAGACACGCAGGAGTCTTTCCGGATGAGTACGATGGTTAACTTGGGGATTGGATGTCAATTCAAGAGCCTTTGACTCGTCCAGGTGTTAAACCTGACGAGAAGATGAGCATTTGCTCTTCGACTCCGCAACACGGGGAATAGAATATACAAATTCCAGCTTGCTAGAACGTGATGTGAAAGTGAGAAAGTGTCATGCAATGCTATTCTTAAGAAACTGTATGAGCCGAAAATGGATGTGATTTTGACCATTCGCTTCAAAATAACAGCGGAAATCGAGATAACAAAACATATGTTTTGGGTCCTACTTTGCAGACGAGGACGTTTATCGGCGTTTTGAAAAGCATAATTATGTTCTTTCATTCATTTATTGCCATGGAATATAGCTCGGTTAATGCGGCTGGCGATCATCTTGCCGGCGGAATTTTCATGGAAAAGGAATAAAATGAAAGACTTTTCCTAAGGACTACGTAATCAGCCTCTGTGGTGTAGTGATTAGGAGTAGTCGCGTCGAGTTAAAGGTACCGGGTTCAAGTCCTACTGAATTATATATTCCTTCTTTCTTTTTTTTTCCGTTTTTTGTGTTGTTGTTTTCAATAAATATATAGCTAAATAACTGTCACTTTATAAAGAGCAAGAAAAGTATTGTGTTTCCAGAGAAAATATCGCGCCCGTATATTAAATATATGGATAAACGATCTGAATTTCTATTATTTCCTACAATTTACTGTGGGAAAACCAGAGTTGATAACCACTTGATCATTTTCTAAACAACCTTCCCACGAGTTCTTTCTATAGACTGATAGTAATTATTCTAGTACTTTCCAACATGTAAATAGGACATTCAATGTCATTTTTGATTCTTTTAACTAATGCCAGTATCAACAGAATGTGCCGCAGCATTACTATCTTTTAGATACCCTAGTTTAGAAAATATTGTTGTTTCCAGAGTTACACTGGATCATAAAGGGTTGTTATTGATAATGGCATGAACTCTATGCTAAAAAACTAGAATCTTTATTTTTAGAAAATAATTACCCAATATACGTGGACCATCTTCTTGACCTCGAAATGTATGTCGCGGAAAAAATAAGATTCGCTCAGTAAAAGTTTAGAACGCTCCACGCGCGGCAAAGAAAACCCCTGTTGTTCAAGCAAACTCTAAGGACCTCTAAGGTCACGTCTCACATTATTACTAGTTTATAAGTCATGTTTATTTCAAACAATTAAGAGAGTTTTCTAGACTGCTTGCAGGCCGCCTTTTTTTGCATAGACCATTTTCATGACCGCTAAATGTAAGTCTCAGTGCGGCGGAAAAAATACAATTTTAGAACGCTCCATGTGCGGCATGGTGACCAACACGCGACGAGGGAAAGAAGGAAAACCCCTGTTGTTCAAGCAAACTCTAAGGTCACGTCTCACAACATTACGAGTTTTTAAGTCGTGTTTATTTCAAACATTTAAGAAAGTCTTTCTGGACTGTTTGCAGCCCGCCTTTTCTCTTAAAATCTGTTTAGTTCTTATTCCAGCTAGCGAGATTGTAAACAACAACTTTAGAATAGAGAATTTACCCTGGGTGCCAGAGACTTTCCATGCCCGCGCTTTCCGTTTTCGGCCAAAGCTTTTCAGTGAAATCAGTGAAGGTCGAGACGCCCGCATTTAGCAGTTCGCGGCTTTGTAAAGGAAAGTAATAGACTGTTCGCAGTTTATAGTCGTTCAAGCAACGAGGCCTTCCGGTGGCAAAATAAATATTGTACTAAAACATTTTGCGTTAACCTTCGCAAACTGACTAAAGAATTCTATGTAAGATTTGGTTTCGGAATAATTGTTACGGCGTGCATTTAGTTTTCCTCGCTTTTAGCCAAATATTTCACTCACAAGAAAAATAGTTTTTAACTCGGCATTTGCAGCTCACACGCAAAATTGTTCACGCGTTTTACTCGCCGTTTGTCGCGGCTTGCTTTGAAAGGTCCCACGAGTTTCTTTCTGTGTTTCCATTGAGTGCAATGAATCAAATTTCTAATTAATTTGGTTAAGCTGTCAAACGATGACGTGTAAATAAAATGAAACATTCAGTCGTGATGATTTAGAGAGGATCGTATTCTATGAGTTGTCAACACGTCTATTGTTTTACATTGCGCAATCGGTCATTTCAGATGACCGACTTCGCAGATCTCTAAGTCTTGCGCGTCCTCATACTTCTACAACACACTCTCTGAAGAAACAAAGAAGCTACCTGGGCATAACCTAAAGATCATATGAGACGATATGAATGCACATGAAGGCTTCAATATAAAATAATGGTAAGTGGTGACTTCTGTAACTAATCAATTCTGATCTTACGAATTTACACACTTTTTTCTGAGGATACTTAGGATACTAGGAAAAATATTCCCTGCTAGGAGAGGTCTCTCATTTTTGCCTCGTCGTGAGAGACCTCCTCTAGCAGGGAAGGGAAAAGATATCTTCTTTTTTTTTTTTTTTTTTTAATCTGCAGCTCCAATACAGGGGCGGATTTAGGGGGGGGGTGCAGAGGGTGCGCACCCCCCCCTCATGAGATGACCTGCGGTTTTCTAATACAACTGGTATTCTGCAAAAAAAAACTATGTGGTTTATTGGTGATGAAGTAGAGCAAGAGACGAGTGCACCCCCTCCTAAAAAAAATCCTGGATCCGCCCCTGCAATATGACATCCATGTATTTAGCCGTGACACAGGCGGTGTGCGTCACGAGATTCGACCAATCAGAATGCGTCATTTGTAGAGTGATTTTCGCGCTCGGAAAGAGCTGTTTGCGGAGGTATACGTGGTGAAATTTTCGCTTTATTCCAAGCTTGTGTTGGTAATTTCGACACTATACCGCCGTGGAAAGTTGTTGGAACACTATATCTTGATAGCAGTTGCGTTACTTTTAAATATTTTGCTTTCTTGAGCGTTTGTGACGAGTTTGAATTGCTCGGTCATGTGCGGGCCGCCATGAGGATTTGAATGTTGTTTTTGCCGTTCTTCTTGGATTTATTGCTGGTTACTGTTAGCGGTTTTATCGAATTATTTTGGCCATCTTGTTACTTCAACCCTTCTTCTTTGCAATTTTCGGGGTCTACCCGGGTCTACCCCTGTTAGTTTTCCAGTTATGAGCCGTTGAAAGTGTCTTGGAATTAAGACATCGTCTCAGCCAAGTGGCACAACTCCCGGGAAACGGGCTGAGAAAACATGCCGAAGCGGAAGCCGACGTGAAGCGAGTAACGCCAAATCCAGGAAGACTTTGTTCTATTTTAAACCACAAAAGGTAAATAAGTTTGAATTTTGTAATAACCTTTGGAAACAAGACATTTTTCATAACCCAGTGCGGAAACTGAAAGCGTGACTTTAAAATAATTTGCATGCGGTGTGTGCTATCTTTGTGTAAACTTTAATACGTGAGGGAATAAATTGTTATAAATCTCTACCAAAACACAACACCATTATCGAAGATCCAGACAACATACAGGATTTTAAAACTGTGAGGGTAGGTTTTACTTTATAACAAGATCGATATACTGCGCTCACTTCAATGACCGCACAGACAAGATCGTGGTTTATTTCACTGTTTATTTCTGCGGCTGTAGCTTCGGTGAAATTCCGATTGTGCTGCAGCTGTTCGGCTCTTTCGGTCCGTTTTCCCCTTGCCTGATTGAAGATTTATTTGCTCATAAGGATTTCAAGCGGGCACTGTTTTCAAAATAATATAAACTTGTCGATGAAAATAAAATTGTTATGAGAGACGATTTCTCACCTTGCTGTTTGCACGCGCTCCCCCTGCTTTGCGGGTAAGAAAGTCCATCAAATATATAAACACTTCTAATGAATGAATTTTTTTTTAGTTAAGCAAATGCAGGTATGAACTACATATCTCTTTAACTGTGAGATAAAAACATACATATAAACCAAACAGTACATAAAATCTTATGAGAAGCAGGAAATTAGTCGCCGCTCAAAGCCGGCTAGGTCGCACGATCGTCTCCGAATCGCGATAAACTTCTTGAAATTGTCTTGTGAAGCCAATAGCAAGCATCTAAGGCCACTATGAGATCTTGAAATTTCTCGAAATCGCTCTCTTGCGTAATGTTTTTCGGAAAAGGCAGCAGTGTTTTGATCCCTGGGTTTGATTCATTTCTCCTACGAGATGCGAACTCGTCCGTGTCACGATTGAAATGAGGCACAGTAACAGTTTTACCCATGAACCATTGTGGGTCGTGACGCACACCGCCTGGCCGTGACACATAACCCACTCGAAAGCAAATTATACATACTCTTGGTGTTGGTTTTGAAACGTGATTTCTTTTCGTTATCCCTTATTGGTGCACGAACGTGCTTACAGTAGTTATTATAAATCGATTATCGCCTACATAAATGATGATTTTCATTGATCAGCCCACGGCTACTTTCCCAGCCCTTTTTTGTTATGTCCGCCTGGGAAATACGTAATAATTTCTAGATCGTTTTCAAGCACGTTTTCTTTATTACAAATTTAGCGTTTTCATCTTAGTTAGTTCAGTTCTAGTGTAGACTTCATGGTGTTAACTTCTGTCAGCCATTGGGGCTTCATTTCTATCTACACTCGTGCTCATCAACTATCAAGTTCAGCTTAGCTTTTGATTCAAGATAACACTGGTGTGTGTGTAAACCAAAGTGAGTATAGTTTTCCTTTTCTTTCTAGTTTTTCCAGTATCGATTTCATCATAGGAATTAAAGAACTTAGTTTTGGTTATTCAATTTGCAACATCGTTGTTGTAATCTTTTCTGTTTATGCAAGGAATCTATTTAGTCTTGTCATCACTGAGCTACAGTGGTTTTAAGGGTTATTATGCGCTACTCTTCAATATGAGTATGCTGAGTGATTGATACCAGCAGTTTTATCGTCGTATTCACTTTTTAGGCTGATTTAGTGTATTTTCTAGTGTTATTTAGTTCTCATTCGCTATTTGGTATCATCGGTTTTTAGTCAGATATATTTGCACTCTATGTATTTTTAGCTAAGTTTTCGTTCGATTTTATCGTTTTCAGTTCGAACCGACTTTGTACGGCTTGTATTGATTTCACAACTTAAGGACCCTTTTGTCTTGTCAATCGACCCCGTCGATTCTTCTGTGTCAAGTTGTGACCTCTGTGCTAGGAGCACTGATCTCTGGTTCAATAAATCTGTTCAATCCGTCACTTCTCGTCGAGTTCGTTTTATGTCGCGCACCGTGTTAAGTGGTTTACTTGGATTTTTGGTTTTGGTATTCTGTACTTGTAAATTACATTTTGGTGCATTTTCCGCACTGTAACATTAAATGTGGAAGCTCCATTCTTCCGTCGAAAAGGTCATGTAAAGAAAATTCTTTTCCTAAAGTCAAATTCAAACTGATTTTCAAACTAGTTAAGGCTAGCCTAAGTGCAAATCAAAAGGATTCTCAATGTCTCAGAGATTAGCCTCCCCATAGGGCGTTTTTAGGGGAGTCTTATTTCCTCCCTTCTCACGAACTCCTTGAAAAACGCCTGTGTGGGAGGCTACGCTGAGATAGGACAATTGCTTATAATTGTCAAATTAAATGGTTTTAAGTTGTAAGTGAAAACATTCAAGGACAGCTGAATAATAAACTAGAATTTCAAGATGATCACTTTCATTTCTAGTCTTGCCAAACCAGGTCCGTGAAAGTTGGCTAAGTCAACAAACAAGTTTGCATAAACACACTAAGTTGTTGTCTGGTAGAACACTTCAACATCAGTGGGAGTGAATTTGTAGGATCCTGCATAAAATTGACAGGAGCGACCAGATGCAGAGTACCCAGGGGGGAGGGGATAGGAGCTGCCACAGTAGGTGT